ATCTTTCTGACCGGATCATCCGCTGCAGGTAACTTTATACATTTTTTACACATGACCACCTCAGTCTCTCATTAGTATACATGTTCTCATGATATATGGATCATACTGACCCACCACGAGCCTTGCTGCCGGGGCTCTGTCCAGGGATTTTTTGACCGGCCCATCAATCGGGCGGTTACTATGATCTGGCCATAGAACCACCAAATCCTCAAACCGAGACGGGCCAGGACCCCTGGTTTGTTCGGGCTCAGACCTGGGCCTTCGTGGTATGAAGGATTTGAACGTTGCTGAGGCGACTTCGCCTCCCTGAATTTGTCGACCACCGTCTCAACGGAGGTGCCAAACACTTCAGAGGGTGAAACCGGGGCATCGAGAAGAAAGCCCCTTTCTTTCTTCCCGATGTCCGCTAAGTTCACCCACAACTGCCGCTCCGTCACCACCATAGCAGCCATCGCTCTGCTCATGGCAGCGGCTGCCTGCTTCGTAGCCCGGAGGGCCAAGTCTGTGGTGCGCCGCAGCTCAGCCGTTTCACCAGGGGAAAGGCCCTGCCCCTCATCCAGGTCCTTCAGCAGGTCAGCCTGATATGCCTGAAGCACCGCCATCGTGTGCAACGAAGCCATAGCCTGAACTGCCGCTGCATATGCCTTGCCGTATTTGAAGGGGCACAGATGGCAAGGAGGGAGTTTTGAGAGATGACGTCTCCCCCAGAGAGAGATAGCTGGCTAGCGTCTCTTCCACAGGGGGCATCATCTCATAGCCTCTCTCGCCCGACGCCGATGTGCGGAAGAGGGAAACCCCCCCTTCAGCCTCATCGGCTAGGTCCACCTGAGATCCCCACGAGCTCATTCTCCTCCGTGCCTCAGCACCAGCGGGTCCTGAACCGCGGGAAACAGATGGTTGTCCCTCTCCACTCGAGCAGAGACACAAACGAGAACGGAGCTTTTTCAGTGAAAAGCTCTCACAGTGCTCCTCGCCCAAACAAACAACGCATAGATCGTGTGAATCATCGGGTGTCAGAAACCGCTGACACGGATGTACACACTTTCTAAACGCTCCGCTAGTGCTCGCCATAGTAGGAAAAGAAAAAGCTCTTACTTTGCTTTTTGGAATGCACGCTTCAAACAGCACGGTCAGTGAAGACGAAGAAAAGTGATGATGTGTGCTACCGGCGCCTATTTTGTACTAGTCGTGACGGTAGTGACGTCATGGATGTCGCCGGCCAAACAAGTTGGTGTTTTTTCAATGTAGGCTTCAGACACGGGCGTTCCCCATAGCGACCCCTAGAGGACGCAGTTCGAAGTTCCACGAAAGGGAACTAGAATTTTTAAGTCACTGAAATAAGGCCATGAAACATACAGAACATTTGCTACAAAAATCATTCTGCTCACTTAGTCACAGAAAACAATATGTTAAATTAACTTTTGTAAGTCATGTTTTGTGTTAGAAAGGCTGTATGCGAGGGAGTGACAATGGCCATGTATATTTAGTGATTCACACCTGAGAGACAAAGGGCCCTCCCCTAATAGGTCATCAGTGTGACTGTGACTGTGAGGTCACGAAGAAAGAATGTGAGGAGAGTAAAATCATGGGGTTTTGATTATTGTATTTTATTTACAACACAGTATAATCAAAATATACACAGTGAAGGTCACATTAGACATATTACTGAGCACACTGATCTAAACACTGAGAATTCACTTGATTTCATACATTTAGTCAGAAACTATAGTTTGGGAAAAGTATAACTAGTAAAATGTGTACAAGTTATGTCACAATAACACAATAACAACTAATGCAAGTAATAAAACATGACTTGTCAGAAATTATCTCCTCCGCTGGATCAAGCAACGCGTCGCATCGCGTTCTTCTTCTGAGGTAAATTCTGGCTTATTCCTCTCACATCTTCTTCCAGAAAAGAGAAGTAGCCGAGATTAACTTGATGAATCTTCAGGCTTTTATGGAGGTGATGTGGGCGTTTACATGCTCGCGCTTCTGACATGGATGATTACCGTATGAATAGCACGTGCTGCTCGTGAGTGTGACCACATTACAGATAATGAGCTCAGACAGGAAAGGCTTTTGTTTCATACGGATTACTTTATCAGAGAGTATCTGTTTTCGACATGACTTAGTTCATTTAAAAGTAGACACTTCAATCTTTCACTTCTCTCATGTCTGTGTGTCAAGTATTAGCAGAGTTTTGGGTCATTTGGTTCAAGAAGTTCACGGAGACCGAGACAGCAGAAAGCGGATCCTGTTTGTTTTATTTGTTTTACAAAAGCACAACTTTTTGTTGTTATTATGAGTGTATACAAACAAAAGTAGACCCTTTCCTGATTCAAATGATGTATTGCTCTTATCTGTATGATAAAAAATTGACAGAGCAAGTACTTTTAAGTACTTTTCGGTGTTATCAGGAAAAAATGCTACAAAATGTGCCGATGCGTTTGCCAACCCCAGTCTGCAAATACTGTAGAAACATTAGTCACCAGATTCTTTGAACACACCTTTTAACCCATACATACATTTTACTGTCAGATACAAGAAAGCAGAGAAGAATCATTATCAGCTAATGTGCTTTGTGCCATTATCTTAGGGGCAGGTTAGGATTCAGACAAAACCAGGATTGAGACCGGGAATAAACAGTAACAAGGTGAGTTGCATCATCCTCAGTTTTAAAAAATCAGAAATTAGCTAGAGGGGTAAAATTACATTCATTCATGTCTACCACCCTCCTGAAGGGACTGAGGGGACTGAGAGTCCTGCGATGTCAAAGCTGAATTGTCAGTCTTTAGTAATGGTTTGGTGCTCAAAAAATATTCTTATTGTTATCAATGCTGACAAAAGATGCTTAATATTTTTTTTGAAAACAGCGATACATTTTTTTTCAGGATTCATTGGCCACGTTCAGACTGAGGGCAAAAGAGTGGCCCAAAAAGTTTATTTTTTTCCAATAGCGTGAACAGTGTGATCTATCTTTTCTTTAAAAACAAACAACAAAAAATCTTACTGACTCAGGCTAAAAGAGGTTTGTTTAAGGGTAGGATGTACTGTTAGGGTAGGTTAAAGACCAGTTCTCAGTCTTTGTTACATTAGGTTACATTTCGAGAGAGGTCAGGGTAAAAGTAGTCTTTAATATTAAAGCGGAGATTCTGGATGATTCTGAATTCTGGATTGATAGCCAAACTGATTCCCATAAGATGAGCATCACTGGCTCAATGAAGGAATCTAAAGCTATTCAAGTCCACATTTTTATATATCTTGAAAATTGTTATGGTTTTCAAAACACTACAATGCTAGAGCTTGTTATCAACTGACAGTCTGCCTTTTAGTCCAGCTGCTCACATCAAATTTTAACTTCAGAGCTGATGTCTTTGTATTATGAATTTTTTTAAGCATTGCTCATGGACTGCATCATTTTTTGTATTTTAGTTTTTTTTTTTTTGCTTTGAAAAATCCTCCAAATTTGTTATACACCAAAATATCATGATGAATTGTGAATTTCAGCTCATGTCACAAAGTAAATTTCTCCCTTCACATCAGTGTCACCCCTGCTCTCCTATCACTGACTTCCAACCAGCCTCCCGACTGGAGATGGAAGCCACATAGGTTCACTCGTAACCCCTCACGTCACTCACCGTACTCGCTGTCATAGAAAACGATGAATTTGTGCCAGCGGAGTTCAGAGACGAGCGTGATCATGACATCACTCAGACGCACAGGAGGGCGTGCGGCCAGCGTGTAGCGCTCTCCGTCGGGGCTGGGATTGAGCTGGCACTCAGCACGGGGTGTGCCGTCTCCGTTCCTCTGAATGAATAGGTGAGGAATGTGCATGGCATCTGTGAGAGACTGTAGTGCATTGGCTGCAGCACATCCCGTCGACGACACCAAAGCCAGTATCCCTTGATTCATGAGCTCACAGGCTAGAAAATGAAAGAGAAGAAAAAACAGCAACACAGTTAGGAACAAGAATTATATTGTCCAGGAGTCATAGTCACTACTTTACAACAGTTAAGCATATTGACCATTATAGAACTTATGGTCCATTTTCATCAACCAGTGGCAATTAATGCAGCAAATGTCAGGGTGATCCCGCAGAGAACAGGTGGGATAATGTGTCCAGATTTCACAGGGCAAATGTAATTCTCTTCAGTGTATTGCCATATGCTGCTAATTTACTGCCTCTGTTAAACACCAGTGTAACAATTTCTCAAGGAAATCTAGTTAAAGTGGACATAAATAATTTATGAGATATGACATTTTATAGATGTTGCCATCTGAGAGCCCCTGGTTAGGAAACATACACTTATACATATTGTTACCCTTGTTTTTTTACAATGATGAAAAGTGGATTTCAAACCCAAGGCTGTTCCAGGGTGCATATCTGACAATGTGCCTATTTAAAAAGGGCATTGTGGCATAGAAAAATGGTAGTAATATTCTCAGCTTTGTACGCTGGAGCATTGTTTCTCTGTAGTATATGACTATAGCTAAAAATCATTGCATTTATGCACAAATGCATCTTGGATAAGAGGTATAATATATAATATATGTCAAAAAATATTTGACTTCATTCTTCATTTAAACACGTTTATTTCACATTATTTTCTCCTATTTATACAAATCAAAAGTAGTTAGGGTACTTTGTTGTATTTATTTGCATTGTAATAAACATTTTATCATAGATTCCAAAAAGGGGGATTGTAAATTAACTTAGTCTGTGACAGCACAAAAAGTTTTACAACTGCAGAAGCTGGAAAATCAATTATTAATAAAACCAAAACAGCATTCAAAATGCACCAAGCCCACTGTACGGAGATGGAATTATTCTCCAAGTAAAAAAAATACAACCCAGTCATTTCAGTAACTTTCACACAATAACTATTTGTCCATGTGTCCCCAGAGAGGCTGTGTGCTAGATTAATTTCAGCAAAGCCTGGATTCAGATTGGCTCAGCACAAAGGGTTTAAAGAACAGTTCTTTAAAGATGTAGGTAGAACAATGTATTACAAATCCCAATGAAAATTAGAGGAAACACAATGATTTTTTTTTTAAGCAAAGAAACTAATTACTTTTTTCTAAGAAGCTGAGCAAATAAATTTGCACAAAGCCACCAGAGAAAATACTCAGCAAATATCTGAACAAACACACTTTAAATTGTTATTCCACTGAATGGATCCACCTTAATTGAATACAAAATACCCTAAAAAACTAACAGTCCCCTAATAAGCTTTAGCTGCTGAACACAATCCAAAATCCTGTTTTTCAACATTAAGGTTCACCCAAACATTCATTAAGTAAAAAAATAGATTAGAAACATTGAACTTGAACAAAAACTCCAACAAACAGAGGCTATTTGTGGTTTACGATAGTACAAACAAGATGAAAGTTATGAAAATCAAGTAAATTTATAGTCTAATTCAAACCAAAGGAAAACTGTTACCATCCATAAATATCTGGACTGTACAGAGTTGCATCCATTTCCAATGGTCATTTAATTTTAAAGGCCCTTTATGTAGTTTAAAGGGATAGTTCAACAAAAAAAGGAAACTTTTGTCATTACTTACTCTCAAATTGTCCCAAACCTGCACGAGTTTCTTTCTTTTTTTTGTTGAGCACAAGAGAAGGTATTTTAAAGGATGTAGGTAACCAAACAGTTGATGGTAGCCATTGTTTTCCAACTGAACTAAATTATTTTGATTTCTATAAAAAAACAAAATGACAGTGGGGCAGTGCTGCAGTGGCCAAGTAATGTAATCGATGTATAACCAAACACCATGTAACACAGACTACCGTAGCAAGCCTAGTGTTTATGTAATTCCACGATTCTTGTTATGTGCCAAATCGTGGCACGGCGGGATGGCGGGACCCGTGCTACATTTTCTTTGACCGCCCGCTCTAGTTTGGAATGACGCAAAGGTTCATCTATTCATTCATCTATTTTGACATAAAAAAACAGAGAATAATGCTTAGAAAAGTATGATCCTAAAAGAAATGACTCAGCTCTTAAGGATAAATGTGTCTGTTCATGACTTGGCAAGCTTTATGATGAGCTTCTTATTTTTTAGCTTCTCTCTTTCTGAAAACTTGTGTGAATGCGTGTGTTCATGTGTTAGATTAGTTTATATGTCTTAGATTTATCCAATAAAGCCTGATTTATATGGAAAAGAGGAGTATCTTGTGTTTTGTGCTCACAAGTTAATGTCTTAAACTGCCGATCTTGTTACTATGCTAATTAATAGTGTTTTCACTATATTTTGGATATAAATATCCCTTGCAGAATTGATGTCATACGGCTCGTTCACTGACTCGCTGGCCGTCTCAGTGATCCGCCGTAAAACAGTGATTCTGTCCTAATTCCCTTGCATATTAATGGTGGAGTTCCCTTTAAAATCTTAAATGATTCCCTTTGAGCTAAATTATTGACCTGTTTCCCTTACAGTGCATATAATAGAGCTATGGAGGGATATAGGTGTGAAAAGCCTGAGATATAAACGCATCTGCTGATTCACATCACAGAGCTACATTTCATTGGATAAATCCAGAAAGAGAAAGTTGATAAGACTGATAGGTGTAGAAAGAATAAGAGAGGAATAGGAAAAGCTCCGGTTACTTGCGTAACCTCGGTTCCCTGAGATAAAGGAACGAGCGTTGCGTTAATCACACTATGGGGAAACTCCTGTTTACTCTGATACTGAAGCCTGACTTGTGCACGTTCGTGTAGCTGTACAAACCAATGGTGCTTCAACCCGCCAAATGTGGTGGACTGCTTTATAAGTCAGCTCTGAGTGCCATTTCATAACAATCTTTCGACTGAAGCGACAGTTGTTGACTCGCGTGCAGCCTTATAGCATGGCAGCCTACGCAATGCTCGTTCCTTTATCTAAGGGAACCAAGGTTATGTAAGCAGACTCGTGTTCCCTTTCAAACGAGTCTGCCTGGCACATGAACTGCTCTCAGCAAGAGGAGTTTGCCCTGTGTCCATAAAAGGAGGTATCGAGCCAACTTATAGAGGAAGTGTGACCCGAGACCTTAGCGATTTATGAAGGCTACCTACCCCCTTTATGTCGTCCGAACGGACCAGGACATGGTGCCCCTTTAAGACCAGCAGGAAGGTTTTTAGGGCTAGAAAAACCACCATCATCTCAAGGCAGTTGATGTGTAAGCATTGCTCCAGGTTTGACCAGGAGCCTAACGCTGGTCTGACCTCGTACAGAACTCCCCGAGTTGGAGGCATCTGTCATGACCACCTTCCTTCTGGAGGTCAGTCCCAACGGGAAACCTGCTTGAAATAGACAAGACGTTTTCCAAGGGGTCACAGCTCCGATGCAGCAGTGGGTTACCCTGAGATGTAAACATCCCAGGCGCCAAGCGTGGGACGGGACAAGTGCTTTGAGACAATACTGGAGGGGCTGCATGTGAAGCAGGCCCAGAGGAAATCACAGAGAAAGTGGCCGACAAGCCCAGAGGGAACATGAAGTCCCCAGCAAGAATGACGCCACTAGCCTATCAGGGAGCGTTCAGGCGTAATCCATACCTGCATCTGGGCAGAATCGATGTCCGTTTGCGATCGCATTTGCACCACACCAGTTAAGCATATTGCCATTGGCACAACACTGCCCTGAGGTTCTGGGGGGAGGTCACTCGGTTAAGTCGGGTATGGCGACTGGCATACTCTGCCATGCAGAAACTCTGGCTGGACTCGTCCATGGTGCAGAGAATCTTAGCTTGGAAAACTTGGAGCATCGCCATCGTGTGAAGCACTGAGCCAGCCTGGCCAGCCACTGAATAAGCCACTAGGGCTGAGGTAGTTCTGCAGGACTTAGATGGATGTGCTGCATGGGCTTTTAAACCCAGGGCCGATGGAAGGCACAGATACGCAGCAACCTCCTCTTCCAGAGGGGACAGCTTGCTGTAACCTCGTTCTTCATTGCCGTCAACAATGGTGAGAGCGGCAGAAGTGGAGGGATTAACATGCCCAGAGTAGGGGGCGCACCACTGGCGGGAGGATTGTTGACAGCGCCCTTTCAGGAACCACTCATCAAGGAGCTCGTGGGAGGGCTCTTCCGAAGCAGTCAAGCCAGGCAAAGATCCTCCACAGCCTTGGTAAGAACGTGGATCAGCTCGCTGTTTATGCTGAGCCGTGTTGTCTGAGTCGGGGTCTTCGCCAGAACACGCCCACTCTTCCGCATCTGAAGCCGTCATCAACATAGAGTCATCCCCAACAGCTTCCTTCTCCAACCCACCGAAGGAAATCAAGCCACTCGCAGATGACGAGGGTTGCTGATCCTCATGTATGAAGAAAATGGGTGAATCGTGGCGTTGAGGGGAGAGTGAAGCATGCGGGACCTGAGCTGGCTTGAGCAGACAGGTGACGCACTGCCCATCTGCATCGTGCAGGGAACCCCTCTGTGTGCTGCAAGCCACACTTGCGGCACAACATTTGCAACAACGTCGCAGTGGAAATTTGCTCAGAAAATATGCTCTTTTTAAAAGCCGGATGGCCACAGGGGAAGGCGTCAAGCTTCTTCTGCTGCCAATGGCTTCTTCTCACAGCAGCGAGCAGGAGGCTGAGCTTCTTTCTTCTCTTTGGCTTCTTGCTTGCAGAGTTAGTGAGGAGATGACCTTTGTCACTAAAGGAGAAAATTCTGACGAAATGGCACTCAGAGCCAACTTATATAGCAGTCGGCTCCACCCCTTTAGGCGGGTTGAAGCGTCATTGGTTCGTGCAGCTACACGAACGTGATCAAATCAGGCTTCAGTATCAGAGTATACAGGAGTTTCCTCATGACGTGATTAACGCAACGGGAGAGACAGTTCAAAAGGGAACTTCAGCCTTCTATGTAACATTGTCAAGATACTGCTGATAGACAACACACACACAGTCACAACTCCATCAATCAACCAGACGACATCTCCAAAT